ACTCCTGACCTCAAGTGATCTGCCCACCTCGGTCTCCCAAAGTTCTGGGATTACAGGCGTGAGCCATCACACCTGGCCTCATTATATAATTTAGATCTTGTACCTTGCCACCTAGCTGAATTCATTTCTTACTACTAATAGTTTTTTTGTTGATCTCCTTAAGATTTTGTGCACACAAGATCGTGGTCATCTGATAGTTTTACTTCTTTCTTTTCCAATCTGATATAGTTTTCTCTTGTCTAATTGCTTTTGCCTAAAACCTTCAGTGTGCGTACAATGCTGAATAGAATTCATGGAGAGCAGACATCCTTATCTTATTCCAGATAGTGTCAAGCCAGGTCTTCAGCACATATGATGTTAGCTGGGAATTTTTCATAGCTTCCTTGTGCTGAGGGAAGGTCCTTTCACCCTAGTTTGTTGAGAGTGTTTTTTTTTAAATTTATCATGACAGGTTGGATTTTTTTGTCAACAAGCTTACTGTGTCTATTGGACAGGATCATGTGGTTTTTGTTCTTTGTGTTGTTGATGTGGTATATTACTTTAACATACCACAAAATTAATAGTTTATATTAATTTTGGGATAGTAAACCAACCTTCCAGTCCTGAGATGAATCCCACTTTGTCATGGTATATAATTATTTTTTATATGTTGCTGGATCCATTTACTAGTATTTTTGAGGATTTTTACATCTGTATTCAGTACACTACATTCAATGGTCTGAGTTTTTCTTGTGATGTTTTTGTTTAGTTTTGGCATCAGAAAATACTGGTCTCAGAATGATTTGGGAAGTTTCCTTCTTCATTTTTTGGAAGAGCCTGAGAAGGATTTGGTGTTTATTCTTCTTTAAATGTGTGGTAGATTTTACCAATGAAGCATCTTTGTCCTGGGCTTTTCTTTTGTTGGTAGTTTTAAAATTTATTTATTTTTTTAGTTTGAATTTTTATGTGTTCATAGTGTATATATTTATGGAGTACGTGAGATATTTTGAAACTAGCATACAATGTACAATAATCACATCAGGAAAATGGGATATGCATCACCTGAAGCATCTGTCATTTCTTTGCATTACAAACATTCCACCATAATTTTAGTTATTTTAAATTACAAATAAATTATTGTTGAGTATTGTATTATCAAATACCAGATCTTATTCATTCCATCTATGTTTTTATAGCCATTAACCATCCCCACTCCTCTCCTCACTGGGAGTTTTTGTTATTACTGACTCAATCTAGTTATTTGTTATAGGTGTGTTAAATTTTTCTGTTTCTTCTTGAGTCACTTTTGATAGTCGGTATGTTTCTAGGAATTGGTTCATTTCATCTGGTTTATCTAATTTGTTGTCATACAAATGCTCTTAGTATTCTATTATAATTCCCTGTATTTCTGTAAGGTCTGTGGTAATGTTCTCTCATTTCTGATTTTAGTAATTTCTTAGTCTTTCTTTTTTGTCTAACTAAAGACTTGTCAATTTTGCTGTTCTTTTCAAAGAACCAGCTTTTGTTTCATACTTTTCTCTACTGTTTTTCTATTCTGGATTTCATTTATCTCTGTTTCAATCTTTATTTCTTTCCTTCTGTTTGCTTCTGTTTGCTCATCTGGCTTCTTAGATGGCAGGTTAGATTATTGATTTGAATTATTTCTTCTTTTTAAATATAGGTATTATAGCTATCATTTCCCCTCTAAGCACTTCTTTAGCTGCATCCCGTAAGTTTCTTTTTCTTTTCTTTCTTCTTTTTTCTTTTGTTTTGTTTTGTTTGTTTGTTTGTTTGAGATGGAGTCGTGCTCTGTCTCCTAGGCTGGAGTGCAGTAGTGCAATCTCAGCTCACTGCAACCTCTACCTCCTGGGTTCAAGAGATTCTCCTGCCTCAGCCTTGTGAGTAGCTGGGATTCCAAGAGTGCATCACCATGCCTGGCGATTTTTTTGGTATTTTTAGTAGAGACAAGGTTTCACCACGTTGGCCAGGCTGGTCTCAAACTTGTGACCTCCAGTGATCCACCCACCTTGGCCTCCCAAAGTGCTGGGATTACAGGTGTGAGCCACCATGCCTGGCCTGTAAGTTTTGATATTTTATTTACATTTGTCCCAAAGTATTTTCTAATTTCCCTTGTGACTTTTTGGCCTATTGGTTATTTAGGAGTGTGTTGTTCAATTTCCACATATTTGTAAATTTCCCAAATTTCCTTGTGTTTTTTATTTCTAATTTCATTCCATGGTGGGTAGAGCACATATTTGGTATGATTTCAATCCTTTTAAGTTTTCTTTTGAGGTTTCTTTTATGACCTAGCTTATGATCTGTTAGTCCTTGGAAGAATGTTTCATGTGCACTTGAGAAGATTATGTATTCTGCTATTATTGGGTGGAATGCTGTATGGATATATGTTAATTCTAGTTGGTGTATAGTGTTGTTCAAGTCTTCTGTTTCCTTATTGAGGTACAGGAGTGGATCATTCGTGAGCTACAGATAAATAATTGCCTTTTTATTCAAAGAGCAATGGAAAGACACTGGACAGTTTAGTGAGATCAGTTTTGCTGGTATTTGGAGAATGTAATGGAGGAGCAGCTCAGAACAGAGGGTAAGGGAGATCAGTCAGAGACTTCCAGTAATTCAGGATAGGCCTGACCCAGTGGTGGCAGTTACATAAAAAGAAGGGAGAATTTCTATGTAAATTTTGGGAGGTAGAGTCAACAAGACTTACTGACACATATTTTGTTGAGGTCAGGAAAAGGAAAGAATTGAGGATAATGACTAGATTTCTGGTTCGAGTAAAACAAATAAGTGGTGATGACATATTGACATGGAAAAAGACAAGGACAGGAGCAGGTCCACGGGATATCAAGACTTCTTTGACAATGCTTAAGGTGTCCACTAAATATGCAAATAGGGATATGAAATAGGTAGACAGATATGCGTGTCATGAATCAAGACTAGATAAATCAATTTAGGAGTTAGCATACAGATAGTATTAGAAGCCATGGTCTGGACAACACAAAATAGAGAAGGACTATAAAGAAAAAAGTGAAAACCAGGATTGAGTCCTGAGACTGCACAATATTGGGATGAACTAAGCACGACTAAACAAGTTATAGCAACTGAAGGGTGGAAGCCAGCAGAGGTTAAAGTCAGCAATATCCAAACAAGAAAATCTTTTAAGAAGGGAGAATGGTTAATGATGTTAAATACTGCAGGGACTTCAAATAAAATGAGGATAGAGAAGAGTCTATTAGATTTGGCAACATGCATGTTGCGTGTTGCAATAACATGAGTAGTTTCATTAGAGTGTCAGGGCCAGGAGTCAGACTGGAGTGCATTGAAAAGTGAATGGGGTGGTGGGGAGCTATGGATAGTGTATATGAGATAACTCTGTTGAAGATTTGACTCAAGAGGAACAAAGAAATGAGATGGTAGCTGAGAAGAGCACTAGGTCAAAGGAGGGTTTTTATTTAATTAGGATAGTTCCTTGAGATTATTATTTTAAGTAGTTGTTATTATTAATATTATTTCTTTGATATCATCACTACAGTGTTCAGTGAAATATACTTACAAGCAATTCTTGAACAGAAACACTTCTATCCTGAAAAGAGCAAATACTGAGACTAAAGCATCGATTATTATTCTTTTCAGTCTCATAAATAAGGAGATCACGAATAGGCCTACTAGGAAAAGAATAAGAACTTATCTGGATGGAAATGATAAACACAGAGAAAGACAGCAACAAAATGCTGTTTATAGAGTTATGGAGTGAGAGAAATAGTTAAAAGGTAAAGAGGAAGGGTGTTAATTTTATAAACTAGCCTTGAGGTCTGGTGCCAAAATTTTGATGTCATGATATTTTTACTGCTTCAGCAAACTTTTGCTCCCCAAATCAACAACAAGGCCTAGCATTACTATGAGCATAGTTTGGCTGGCTGTAGCAACATCTTCTTGCCTTTACCATATCACCCATTCATTTAGTCAAATAACAAGCAAGTAATTTAACTTCATTTTCCTTATCTCTTAAATTGCATATCAGTACATACTTCAGAAATGGTTATAAAGATTATACGAAAGAATGTGTCTAACTTAAATGCCTGTACCAGCTAAATAAAGTGTTCTAACAAGTAGACCCAAAGATATAATGGCTTAGTAAAACAAACGCTCATTTCTTTTTTCTTCTTCTTTCTTTCTTTCTTTCTTTCTTTCTTTCTTTCTTTCTTTCTTTCTTTCTTTCTTTCTTTCTTTCTTTTTTTTGGTGTTTGACTTTATTTTTATTATCATACTTTAAGTTCTGGGATACATGTGCAGAACATGCAGGTTTGTAACACAGGTATAGACGTGCCATGGTGGTTTGCTGCACCCATAAACCCGTCATCTACATTAGGTATTTCTCCTAATGCTATCCCTCCCCTAGCCCCCACCGGCCGACAGGCCCGGGTGTGTGATGAGCCCCTCCCTGTGTCCATGAGTTCTCAGTATTCAACTCCCACTTATGAGTGAGAACATGCAGTGTTTGGTTTTCTGTTCCTGTGTTAGTTTGCTGAGAAAGATCGTTTCCAGCTTCATCCATGTCCCTGCAAAGGACATGAACTCCTCCTTTTTTATGGCTGCATAGTATTCCATGGTGTGTATGTGCCACATTTTCTTTATCCAGTCTATCACTGATGGGCATTTGGGTTGGTCCCAAGTCTTTGCTATTGTGAATAGTGCTGCAGTAAACATATGGGTGCATGCATCTTTATAGTAGAATGATTTATAATCCTTTGGGTACATACCCAGTAATGGGATAGCTCAGTCAAATGGTATTTCTGGTTCTAGATCCTTGAGGAATCACCACACTGTCTTCCACGATGGTTGAACTAATTTGCACTCCCACCAACAATGTAAAAGCGTTCCTATTTCTCCACATCCTCTCCAGCATCTGTTGTTTCCTGACTTTTTACTGATCGCCATTTTAAGAGGCATGAAATGGTATCTCATTGTGGTTTTGATTTGCGTTTCTCTAATGGTCAGTGATGATGAGCTTTTTTTCATATGTTTGTTGGCCACATAAATGTCTTCTTTTGAGAAATGTCTGTTCATATCCTTCGCCCACTTTTTGATGGAGTTGTTTTAGAAAAAATCCATTGTTAATCAGGCAGATGACTTTGGAGGAAATATTTTTTTAAAGCCATCCAGCAGAATGCCTTCTCATCTTTATAGGACCTACTTCCTGGTCCTTCAACTGTTTCTGTGTCTTCTCACCTTAAAAAAATAAAATACAATGTACAGTAACCTTTTAATCAAAATACAGCATTGTAGGTGGAGACTGAAAGGCTGCCATTGTTTGTTGTTTAACAGCCGATCCTGATATTCTGGTGATGCTACTGTGCTGCTTCGTTACACTGAACACGTAATTTTTTCACTATATTAATGGTATGTCATTTTTTTAAACTGTAAGAAAATGATTGCTTATCAGTAGCATATAAATTCAGAGTCAGGAATGATGGTGATGCCAAACAACCACATTGTCTACCTGGGTTGCTGAAATAATGACACCTTTGCTTTGTTCAATGTATACAAACTTTGTTTCATGCACAAAATTATTTAAAATATTGTATAAAATTACCTTCAGGCTATGTGTTTAAGGTGTATATGAAACATAAATGAATTTCATGTTTTTAAGTGCTTTTAAGCATTTTTAAGTGTTTTCCGTGGGACAGTTTGTATATCTAGCCCACCATAGTACCAGTATTCTATCATATGTTTTCTCCACCCCTGCTCTGAGGATGTAAAACTGTTAGAAAAAATAAATCACAAAATTGAGCTGATTGGCTCCACAAAAAATTTATGATTTTCAGCCTCAGCTGGGTCTTCTCTATTGTTCTACAAATCTTTAATTCATCTTTATTCAGTTCCCTTTCTGATTTCCCACAGCAGCTGTTTCAACCCGTTACTACACTTCAATCCTCCCACTCCAACCTCTTCATCTTTTAATCATTTCGGAAAATGAAGCTTCCTACTTCACAACAAAAAAAAGACTTTCAGGTGAGAATCCATTCAACCCTTCTTCATTTCATTCCGAAGTTGTCTCTGTTTTTCATCCTTTTCCTGCTTTCCTCCTCTCTTGGAAGAAGGGGTGTTCTTTCTTACATCCTTTCCCGCTCTCTCTACCTATGGTCTAGAATAGTGGTTACTCAAGGTGTGGTCATGGACCTCTTCCAATCCTCAAACTGTTTGATATTGATCTACAACAGACTAAGCACTGAAATTAAGAATAAGAATTTAGAAACTTCCATAGCAATTTGATAAATTAATTTTATGTTCATTGGCTCTAATAATGAAAAATTGGGGTTTATATTTTGAATGTCTTTGTTTTTGTACTGCATTTTTTCTAGTAACTCATTTTTATTATATTTTACAGAAGTACCAATCACAACAGCTTGAAAATTTGAAAACCTGATCCTTCACCACAGGTAGTTTGAGAAGTATTGGACTAAAACCCATCCTCCACTAACTTGTCTGAGATTTGACTCCATGCATTAACCCTTTTCTCTCTCATTTCTTCACTCTTACTCTCCATAGACATTCTTCCATATTACCTTTGCCTACTGTGTTGCCAACTTATTTCTCACTTTCTGTTTACTGCCAGCCTTCTTGAAAGAATAACTCTCATATACTGTTTCCACCCTCCTCATCTTCTCTTTAACCCTCAAACCATAGCAATTTGGCTTATTCCCCTACTACTGCTCCAACAAAAGTCACCAGTGATGTCTAAATTGCCCAATTCATAATAGCCCTTCTAGTCCTTGTCCTGTCAGACCTCTACTCTGTGTTTACTAAAGACCACCCTTTCCTTTGAGGACCTCTCTTCTTCTGTGTTTCTCTAATAGCCCTCATCTGATTGTTGCTTTCTTTCTCATGGTCTACAAGGAGAACCCCAAACTCTCTTTTAGGGTCTTCTCTTACTCCAGCTACCTGTCCTTCAGGCCTCTATCCTCAGACTTTTTTCCTTTTGCTCTACATTTATTGCCATCAATTTACTCAACATCTGTATGCTGATGAATCCCAAATATCTTAACTCCAACCCTGACTTCTCTAACCAGGCTGTAGGCTGAGTTTTCAGTTGGCTTACTAGATAGTTTCACATGGATATCCCAAAGACACCTGAAATTCGACTTATCTGAGACAAAAACTTATTATATACAACCTTGGCCTTCTTAGGTATTCCCTATTTTGGTTAATGGCCTCTCTATCTACCTGATTACCCAGGCTTGGGAGTCATCTTTAACTCTTACTTATCTCTCATTCTCATACTAAGTCCATCAATATTACCTTAAATCCATTCCACTTCTATTGCCTTATTTCATCAGCTCCTGCCGAGAGCCATATGACTACTCTCTCTATGTTCAGTCTATTTTTGGCACCTCCGTCAGAAGGAATATTCAGAAAACATTGTTCTGATCTTATCACTTTCCTGCTTAAAACCTTTGGTTAATTTCTCATGGCCTATAAGGAGAACTCCAAACTCTCTAGCATTGCATATAGGAACATTTACAATCACACTCCACACTAATTCTCTAGCCTTGTCTTTCACCATTAACCCCCCCGCCCCCAGACTTTGTACTCCGGTCAGATTATTGGCAGTTCCTTGAGTATGCTATGTATTTTCACTTCTCTATTTTTATTTTAGGAAATTTATTTTATTCCCTTCTTTGCCCATGCTGTTTCCTCTTTTTGAAATGTTCCTCCCCACTTCTTTACTAATAAACTTCAACTCATGCTTTAAGCCCTAAATTAAATATTGCCTCCTCTATCAGGCCACTCTGATATTATAGATCTATTCCCTTCCACCACCTAGTCTCCCTTCCTTGAGGCCAAGGACAATGTTATGAATCTTTATGTCACTGGCCCCATGACTAGCATATAATGTTTCTTGAGTGACTACAAGAAGTAGAAAATAAAGAAGGAAAATACTCTCCATAAACGACAGTCTCTAAATAAAATAATTATATCTATGAAATTATTTTTTTCATATTCTAAAGAAAAGAAAATTTTAGCCCCTTAGGTAGTGGGATCTGAAAGTTACCAGCAGCAGGCTGTCAAAGAGCATATTGTGGATTCATTTCTTTACATCTCAAAGACAAAATAATATATCTTTTTCTTCTTAAACATGCCGTACAATACATAGTACAGCAGTAGTAGCATTGTGTGTGTTTAATAAATACATACAATATTGAAATCAACTGCAAAACTGTAGATCCATTATTACTGCTGCTTACTAGTACCATGCCTCAAATTAAAAACTCCCACTAAGATATGTAGCAGGGCTTGGGGAAGGATTATGTATTCAAATATTATTTTTAAATAATTTGCCCTTGTTGTAGATCTTTTTCCCTCCTACAAATCAAAACATAGACAAGCCCTTCTGTTCCCCTTTCTTAGGTGCTTTTGCTTGCAAGGTCAAAATCGGAAGTTCAGGAAGATCACCTGAATCCAGAGCTTTTGATTTCAGAAGCCTAGGTTCATTGAGGAAAAGTATGCTGACTTGTCCCAGAGGGTTAACAGGTGAATGCTTTTGAGTAGAGGTGGGAGAAGCTGTCTGACATAGAAGTTGAGCTTCTCCGGTACCAGAGAGGAGATGGGAGTAATGGTAGATTCCATGAGCATCAAGGATTACTTTTGCTGCCTTTTAGTGTCCTAAAGAAGATACAAGATCTCAAGAGAGAATGAAGACATGGTACACTTAAGAAAGTCTGAATACTAGTCCATGAGGATGCCAACCTCAGCCAAAACACCCCACTATCACCACCAATGTGCAAGGGTGGCACAGAAGCAGCTACCCTGTCTAACTTTAAGGGGATTTGCCTGACAAACATATCAACAATATTGGGTATGCACAAAAGGGCATAGGGCCTACACTGAAAGTTGTGTTCTGGGTATCATTTGCTAGGGTCTTCATACAACCTTGACAAAGGGAGATAAAAACCATGAGTGAGATGGAATTTTTAGCCAGCTGGAAAGGTGAAAGTTTCCGAGCAGATTGTTGTAGGGATATAAAGAAATGTGACATTTTTTGCCAGTTAAAATGGCGATCATAAAAAAGTCAGGAAACAATAGGTGCTGGAGAGGATGTGGAGAAATAGGAACACCAGCAATCCCATTACTGGGTATATAACCAAAGGATTATGAATATAAAGACCCATGCACACGTATGTTTATTGCAGCACTGTTCACAATAGCAAAGACTTGGAACCAACCCAAATGCCTATCAATGATAGACTGGATAAAGAAAATTTGGCACATATACACCATGGAATACTATGCAACCATAAAAAAGGATGAGTTCATGTCCTTTGCAGGGACATGGATGAAGCTGGAAATCATCATTCTCAGTAAACTAACACAAAAACAGAAAAGGAAGCACTGCATGTTCTCACTCATAAGTGAGAGTTGAACAATGAGAACACATGGACATGGAGGGGCAGGGCTCATCACACACTGGGGCCTCTCGGGGGGTGGGGGCCGGGGGGAGGGATAGCATTAGGAGAAATACCTAATGTAGGTAACAGGTTTATGGGTACAGCAAACCACCGTGGCACGTGTCTACCTATGTAACAAACCTGCACGTTCTGCACATGTACCCCAGAACTTAAAGTATAATAAAACAAAATAAAATCAGGTTGTTTGCTTTTGTTGTTGTGTGGTAGGAGTTCCTTATATATTATGGATATCAATTCCTTATCAGATGTAATATTTTAAAATGTTTCTTTTTATTTCATGGATTGCCTTACACTCTGTTGGTATTCTTTGATATCCAAAAGTTTTGAATTTTCATAATGTCCAGCTTACCTCTTTTTTCTTTTGTTGTTTGTGCTTTTGGTGCCATATTCAATAAATCATTGCCAAAAAAAAAAAGAAATGTGACATTTTTGCACCCTGGTTGTATGGACCAAATTTCATGGCTACAATTCTAATTCAGTGTTGTTGGTCACTTACTTGCTCACTTTGTACCTTAAATTTGTACTTTTAAAAAACAAAGATAATGCCTTCCCTCTACCTTACAAGATTTTTATGACACAAGAATTAAATAAGGTAAGAAAAATTGCTTTGAAAAGGCACAAAACAAATGAATATATGTTAGTAAATTACAGAAATCAGTGTGAAAAAGAACCATATTTGATAGCTTTAGTTCTATATTGAACCTAAAGGATATATTATGATAAAACTGATAGCACAAATATATTTATTGTCTTAATCTAGATTGCCTGTATTGAGATATGTTTTTAATATTTTCTCTACAAATGCACTAGTTGTTTTCCTCAGCTTTTCTTTAACTTCCTTGTGTTTAATCGCTTTCAAATGAAAGAAGTCCAGATATATAGTTTCCATTATGAACTACATCTTCAATAATTTGATCTTTACTGAGGACAGTGTTATTCCTAGGATGTAATGAACTGTAACAACTGTGTCATGACATATAGTTGCTGATGCCTCATGTTCTGGACCACAGAGTCAGACCTTAGAACATTTCTGCCTGCTTCATTGCCAGCTCCTTGGGCAAACCCTATAACCTGAGAGTGTCTGGGTTGCCAGAGTCTGCAGAATCAGATTGCCTAAGTGAAGGGAGGGTATATGTAATACATAAGAGGCACCATTGCACACTGATGGTTAAGGACACTGACTCTGGATGGTGACTGCATGGCACAACTCTAGGGGACACTTGGTCCAGCTTTGAATCCATTCTACCACATAACAACTACATGATATTAGACACATCATTTAATTTCAGCCTTGTAAAATGGAGGTAACGATAGTACCTTCTTCGTGAGGTTATTGGGAAGATTCAATCATATAATGAATGTAAAGCCCTCAGCACAGTGCCTAACACTGTGCATACCCAATAATTGGTAGCTGGTATCAATATAAAAGTAACAGTGGGCAGGGGGAGGGTGGTGGAGAAATGATTCCAAGATCACCTTGGGAGCAAAGATCTGGATTTGCTGGAAAGTCAAACGATCACTAGGAAATGCCATCTGGGAAAAAATTCCATGTCTGATTATGATTTGACACATACATTCCTCACTACGGGGCAGGAACTTTGTCCTGATTACTATGATATCCAGCATAGAATGGTGCTTCACATGTAGTAGTCACTCAATAAACATGAGATAAAGGAATCAAACTAGGGGTTGCCTATGGCATAGGTCCCAGAGCTCTATAGCAGTCCACCACTGACAGTTTAGCACAATGCCCTGAATATAGTATGTGCTCAAGAAAGAATGAGTGATGTAAGAACCTCAGACAGTGTTGTACTTTACCATATCAGTTTCCACTTTACCATAGTTGGATAAATTTACATCACCCAAGTTCAGCTTTCCTTGTGTTGCCTCTATTTCATCAGCTCCAAAGCCCTATCCCAATTTTAGAATCCCTAATTCATCATGTATATTCATTTGACAAATACTCTTTGAGTGTTTAGTACATGCGAGGCATTATGCTAGACGCCATGAACCTCCTGGAGCTTGTTTAGTGGGGAGACTAGCAGCATGCAAGTCAACAAACATATAAGATGATTTCAAATCGTGATAACCTAGTTCTACAAGAAAAATAAAACAGGGAAACTTTATGGGGGATTACCTTGGATTAGGTGGTCAGAGAAAGGTCAGAGAGAGCCTCATTTCTAAGGATGTAACACCTAAGTTGGATGATGAAGATCAGTAGCTGCAGAAATAAAAGCAGGTTGCTCTCTTGGAAGTGCCCATTTCTTCTGAAAAGCTATGAAAAATCTCTCAAAAATGGAGGACAGTTAAGCAAAGACTGGAGACTGCAGAAGGAGAAAGTGAGCAAGGATTGGCAAATTACCATCCTGCCTAAACCAGTCTCAACCTTTTTGAGCTGTTTTTAGAGGTTAGGTGTTTCATTGCATGTCAAGGTTAGAAAGTCACTTAGAGAGGCCGAGATAAGTGGATCATCTGAGATCAGGAGTTCAAGGCCAGCCTGGTCAACATGGTGAAACCCTGTCTCTACTAAAAATAAAAATAAAAATAAAAATAAATTAGCCATGTGTAGTTGCATGTTTCTGTAGTCCCAGCTACTCAGGAGGCTGAGGCAGGAGAATTGCTTGATCCTGGGAGGCGGAGGTTGCAGTGAACCCAGGCAGGTGACAGAGCAAGTCTCAAAAAAAAAAAAAAAAAGAAAAACTAAAAACAAAAAACATCTAATATCCAGCCCATGATTTCGTGATTATTATTGCTTTGATGAAATTAACGTAGCAAGAGCCACGCCAAGTCACTTTCCAGAGATCAACTTGGTTGGCCAACAATGGACCCTGGATAGGCTTATGGGATGAACCTGAGGTAGGGAAGGCTGCCACCCCCACCCCCAGGGAATGAGAGAGAGAATGCCCAAATACCCTTCCTGTAATTTATGTTATTTTTGGATATGTCAAAAATCATGCAGATTATACACAGATGGAAATATTGATTTGACTCTCTTGCCTTTGAATTCCTTCCACAAAGAAATTATTTTAGAGCCTATAAAAGTCTAAGGAAATGGCAGGTCCTCTTGGTGGATAAGTGAAAAGCCTCTAGAGTTAGTCATTCCTGGATCTGAATTCCAGCTCTGCCATTTAATTGCTATGTGACCTTGGGCAAGTAGTTTAAACCTGTCTACACCTTAGTTTCCTCATCTGCAAAGATAGGAACTCTAGGACCCATTTCTTAAGAGAGTTATTGAAAGGATTAAATGAGATAATATATGTGGGAAGTGCTTTTCCTGGTGTCTGTCACATAGTAGGTGCTCAAAATACATTATAGCTCTAATTATTCAAGTTTTCTGGGGCAGTTTCCATTTCAAACATTCTGTTCCATTTTTAGACTATTCGTGCTCATTTGAAATTCTAAAATGTCATCACTATGTTTTTCTTCAGCATTTGAAGAAGAGTTTGTTTTTCAGGTATAAAGACACAAAACTGCCTCCACTTTCTACACTTGATTTGGAAGTCTCAATCCTAGTCAGAGACATCTTATTAAGACCCAAAGCATAGGATGGTTACTATCAATAAACAGAAAATAACAAGTATTGGTGAAGATGTAGAGAAAATTGAACCCTCATGTACAGTTGGTGGGAAACAGTATGGCAGTTCCTAAAAAAATAAAAAATAGAATTATATGATCCATCAATTTTGCTTATGGGTATATACCCAAATGAATTGAAAACAGTGTCTTGAAGAGATATTTGTACACTTATTTTCATAGCAGCGTTATTCATAATAGCTAAAACAGGAAGCAACTCAAGTGTCCATCAACAGATGAATGGATAAGCAAAATGTGGTATATACATACAATGAAACATTATTCAGCCTTAACAAGGAAGGAAACTGCAATATGCTACAGCATGGGTGAACCTTGAGGACATTATGCTAAGTGAAATAAGCCAGTCACAAAAAGACAAATACTGTATGATTCTACCTATATGAGGTCCTTAGAATAGTCAAAATCATGGAGACAGAAAACAGAACAGTGATTGCCAGGGACCGAGGGAAGGCAAGAATGGGGAGTTATTGTTTAATGGGTACAAAGTTTCAGTTGTACAAGATGAAAAGCGTTATGGAGAGGGATGGTGGTGATGGTTGTTCAACATTATGATGTGTTTAATACCACTGAACTATAAATGTAAAAAGTTAAGATGGTACATTTTATCTTTCATGTATTCTAACACAATAAGAAATTCAAGAAAAAAAGAAGACCTAAAGCAGACTTTTACCCACAAAGAATGGAGAAGAGAAGAAGAGTGATCTTTGAACACAGAAGTACCAGGCAGTGAAATTTTGAGTTTTCCACAGAAGTACAAACAATGAGTGGACAGACAAGAAGCCAGGGTGGGAGAGACATTTCACTGGGTGTGACCCCTTCATTTCCAGTTCTACTTGAAGATTTTGCTTTAATTAACACAAAGGTGAAGCTCAGATTGTAGATGGCCTGACACTGCTTATGATCAGCTGTTTTTCTAAATTATCTAAACCTCATTATAATTATATGTATGAAACGCCTGGTAATAAAATTGCATTGTAATTACACAGCCCTTAACATCAGTATTCAACCTGCAGGCTCCAGCTGCCCTCTGATATTCATTATAATCAGGTTTCGCCTGTTTACAAATGGCAGGGGAGGTTAAATCCACTCAATGGGTTTTCAGGGTCAGCTGAAACTCATAGAAAATTGTCCTTTAATATTTGAATCAATATACATGTATCCAAACTATATCCTTCTTCTTCATCAACTCTCTAGTTCTGCATACCTAATTAGACCCATCAATTCCTCCATAGCCTTCCTGAGACAGGGAGGAGAATTAAGCAATGGGTCAGCCAGGGAACTGCCTGGGGTGCCAATTTAAAAGGGATGTTTAAAAATCCCTGGAATAAAACATAAATATGGTGCTGCATACCTTGGGTTTCTGCCAGTACTTCCTAAAGTAATTGGTGAAATGAAAATTGGCCACTTCTTTAACCTAAGGAGGCTGGGACCTTTGAGTAAAAAATTAAAAGCAAAAGCAAGCCAGTCCTCACTGGTGCCAACCACACCATTTTCTTGACAAGTGTGTGCAAGTTAAAGGGTGTGCCACCAACGGTGAGATTAGCAAGCTGGCAGTTGCTGAAAGTAAGCAACTCTCCACGATCACCTGATATTGAGAAACAAAATACTGCATGTTGCAATGCTCTTTATCAAGAACGAAGGGTTAATTTCCTTATCCAAATTTTAAATCCTTTACTATACATTCCCCAAAGTTACCTGGTTTGGAGAATTGCAAAAGGACACTGAGGACAAAATAAAAACTACAGAAAAGTGGGAAATGGCTTGTCAAAAAGAAAAAAAAAGAGTGGGGGGGGAAATTCTAAGGTCTTTTGAATGTGATTTATTTATTTATTTATTTATTTATTATTACTATTATTTTTTTGGAGATGGAGTTTCGCTCTTGTTGCCTAGGCTGGAGTGCAATGGCGCGATCTTGGCTCACTACAACCTCTGCCTCCTGGGTTCAAGCGATTCTCCTGCCTCAGCCTCCCGAGTAGTTGGGATTACAGGCATGCGCCACCACACCCGGTTAATTTTGTATTTTTAGTAGAAACGGGGTTTCTCCATGTTGGTCAGGCTGGTCTCAAACTCCCCACCTCAGGTGATCTGCCCACCTCAGCTTCCCAAAGTGCTGGGATTACAGGCGTGAGCCACCACACCTGGCCTGAATGTGATTTTATAACTATATACCTGTAAGTTACCTGACTTTATAATTATCCCTGTAAGTTACTGCCATTATATTTAGTTTTGAGTGACAAACAAAAGAAATGAAAGTAATAAATACGTAATCTAAAATGCCAATTTAGGATTTTTTGCTGTAGTTGAAGGCAAAACACACACACACACACACACACACACACACGCGCAACATAGTGGTTAAGCTCATAGGCTCAGATGTGAGCCTACCAGAGATTAAATCCTGGCTCCACCACTTACTAGCTGTGTGATCTTGGCTAAGTGACTTAAACTTTGGGCCTCACATATTAAACGGGGATGATGATGGTGGTAGTGGTGGTGATGATGATGATGATGATGATAACAATGCTCACCTCCTAGGATTAAATGAGATAATACATGTAAAGTGGTTAGCATAGTTCCTGACATATGGTAAACACTCAGTAAACGACAGCTATTATTGTCGTAAGTGTGGGCAGTGAATTTTTTATTTCAAACATAAGGAAAAAAGGCATACACTATTTAAAATAGAAACTCAGTCTCTCCCTACTCTCATTAAGTAAATGTTGACTAAACATTTTAAATATATTCAGGTGAAGAGGCACCAGAACATAAGCCTGCCTGGGGCATCCACACTGTCTCATCCAGTCTTGCTGAAGAGGGTAACTGTGGTACAATCAAAAGAATGCTAGATTTTCAGAACTGGAAAATTTGGCTTCAGGTCCCATCTCTGCCACTTTATAGTTACTAGTGTGACCATGAACAAATCATATAACCTCTCTGAGTTACAATTTCCTCATATGGAAATGAAGATACCTATGTTATAGATGAGTGGTGAGGATTGGAAAAGGTTGTATGGAAAAGCATCTGGCACATATTAGGCATTCAGCAATTGTTTGTTGACCCTGTATCACAGAAAGAAAAATAATTCTCTGGAGATTTTAATACTTATATGTCATCAGGGATGATGGCTCAAGTTTCTGAGCAGCACTGATTTTGCCTCAAATTAGCTTTTGCCATTTCTTGTGAAAAGGTCAATATTGCTGTCATATCCATAAAGCTCCAAGATGTAATTGTGTATGCCTGCTAAGACTTTTTAAAGCAGGGTGATAGAGTTTGGCTTAAATGCCAGCACAGACCTTTCTACATAGATGTACTACTGAAAAAGTGCTGAAATATTCCAAAGATGCTACTATTAATACCAACTTCAAGAATGATGAGGAAGTTGATGGCGGCAACTATAGTAACATGTTTTAGTTTTTTATGTTTTGTTTCACTTTGTTTGAAGTCACTGGCAAGATTATAGTCCAATTTGTCCTCTATTGACTACTGAACAATATTGTTTGTAGAACATTCCTGGAATCTGTTTGACTGTAACATAATCTGGTTTTGTGTACATAAAATTAGATTTAATACAGAAACAGGAGAAGTGAACAGCATCAAAATAATTCCAGAATACTCACAGGCCTTATAAAAATATTTGACAGCATTAGTTGACTTCCACTCTGATAGTTATGGAGCAAATTTAGCAGTCTCTAGAAGCTCTTACTCAGATACATAGTAATCCCCCTTTATACATGGTTTCACTTTCAGTGGTTTCAATTACCCACAGCCAACTGTGGTCTGAAAATATTAAATGGAAAATTTCAGAAATAAACAATTCATAAGTTTTAAATTATGGACGATTTTAAGTAGGGTGATGAAATCTTGCACCATCCTGCTCTGTCCCCTGAGACATGAATCTTCCCTTTGTCAGGGTAACCATGCAGTCTAAACTACTCACCCATTAGTCAGTTAGTAGCCATCTCAGTTATCAGATCGACTGTTGTGGTATCACAGTGCTTGTGTTCAAGTAACTCTTATTTTACTTAATAAGTGCCCCAAACTGCAAGAGTAGTGAGGCTGGAAATTCGGACATGCCAAAGAAAAGCTGTAAAGTGCTTCCTTTCATTGAAAATGTAGGCCAGGCATGGTGGCTCACGCCTGTAATCCCAACACTTTGGGAGGACAAGGCAGGTGGATCGCTTGAGTTCATGAGTTTGAGACCAACCTAGGCCACATGGTGAAACCTCGTCTCTACAAAAAATACAAAAATTAGTCAGGCTTAGTGGCACAGGCCTGTAGTCCCAGCAGCTTGTGGGACTGAGGTGGGAGGATTGCTTGAGCCTGGGAGGTCGAGGCTGCAGTAAGCTGCGATCATGCCACCTCATTCCTGGCGACAGAGCAAGACCCTGTCTCATTTTTAAAAAACAGAAATAAATAAATAAATAAAAGCTAAATATTCTCAGTAAAGAAAAAAATAACTTTTATTAAAATATATTGTTATAATTGTTCTATTGTTATTAATCTCTATAGTGCCTAATTTATAAATTAAACTTTATCGTAGATATGTATGTATGGGAAAAAACATAGTATATACAAGGTACAGTACTATTTCCCATTTCAGGCATCCACTAGGGGGTAATAATGTCAGACAGATGACAAAGTAATATATAAAGAGCCTTTTAGAATCAATAACTAAAAGACCATTAAAAAAATGGGCATACATTAAAATGAATTTTCTTTTGTTTTGAGACAGAGTCTTACTCTGTCGCCCAGGCTGGAGTGCAGTGGTGCAATCTCAGCTCACTGCACCCTCCGCCTCCCAGGTTCAAGTGATTCTCCTGTCTTAGCCTCCTGAGTAGCTGGGATTACAGGCACACGCCACCACGCCTGGCTAATTTTTGTATTTTTAGTAGAGACGGGGTTTCACCATGTTGGTCAGGATGGTCTCGAACTCCTGACTTGATGATCTGCCCACCTCGACCTCCCAAAGTGCTGGGATTACAGGCATAAGCCGCTGCACTCGGCCTAAAATGAATTTTCTAGATGATTGAATAACAATAGTCCTTTGATATGAGATAATGACTTGGTTTATGGCCTTAATATACTACTTAATTACTTAAGACATTTATTAATATAATGATAAATGTATAGAGTAACCTGTAAACATGACATACTTTTGTTTTCAGTAGTTTCATGTAAAGAAAAAAATCTTGAAAATAGTAATACCTGAGGACACATGGGAACAATAGACACTGGAGAGGGAGGGTGGGGACCAAGAGCTGAAAAACTACCTACTGGATACTCTGCTCACTACCTGGGTGATGGGACCATCCATACCCCAAACCTCAGCATCACACAGTATACCCAGCTAACAAGCCTGCCCATGTGTTCCTGAATCTAAAATAAAAATTGAAATAATTTTTTTTTAAAAAAGACAATAGTATTATCCATGGGACAAAATTTGTACTATTAGCAAGAATTATTTTGTGTCTCATTTAGAAACAACTTGACTTTTGTTCCAGTGTTTAAATTTTGACAAAAATGGTTTTAAATAGATCTTTATAACCTGATGCCATAAATACAAGATTCTCTGATCAATATTGGGCCTAAAACAGTATTCTGTAAAGCTTAAGTTGGTATTAACTATGATCATCTTGATGTCTATGATAGATAATAAACAAGGTCATACATACAGTAACACAATTATTTAGCATTTCAAGTTGTGTGCTTTATGCAGCAAGTGAGAAAAAATATTGGAATATTGAAGTATTTGCATAAAAAGTCAAATAGTAGTGTTTTGAAATCTCTATTGTATTTCCTATTAAGGTTTTATATGTTACTTTCCCATTGTTCCTGAATTTGTTATCCTATATATAAACAGAAACATGGATGAGTTAAAAAAAAAAAAAGTGGACATAGGCTATGAGTAGATTATTTAAAAAGGAACTACATATGGTCATATCATCAATAAACATGAAAAAGTGTCAAATCTCACTAGTATTCAAAGAAATAATAAACCACAATAAGACTATTTTTCACTAATATGATATTGCTAAATATCATTTTTTTAAACTTGCACACTAAGTTTTATTGTATGCTGCTGCCAATGTATATAAAACAATTACCCTTGTGAAATAGAAATTCATGAAAATTCAGAGGTAGATGTTAAAGACTGACAAAAGTAGAATTTTGTATATTATGGCACATGTGTTACAAGGACAAGTTTTTGTACAGGCTTCAAAAGTGTCTCTCTTAAATATTCACTGGATCATAAGAAGTGGTTTGGGAAACCTTTGAAAGATTCATTTTACTACAAAAAGGAACAGACTTTCTGGGGTCTGAAGGGATTTGTACTTGAAGATACTCCAGTCAGCAGAGGGTCATGTTGAGCATTCTGCAGACAGAATTGTTTCAAGTCTGCAGCTGCCTGGGAAACTTTTACGCTGTTGAGCCCGGCCTCCAGCTGGAGCTGTTGAACCACTTTCTTCATAGCGGCGAAGCTGGAGGAGCCAGATATGGTGAACGCAAGGGCCAGGCCGATTCGTGGGTGGGTGGGTCGGTGGGTCGTGGGCCGTGGGTCGTGGGCCGTGGGTCGGCGGGGCCGCTAAATATCATTTTTAAGATGTTATTAGAAGGGCTCAGGAAAACCAGCATTCCTATACATTGAGGATACAAACTTTCTAGCAGGCAATTTGTGTATTGGTACCTGACATATAGTATTCCCTCAATAAATATTTCTTCAATGAATGGATAATTTTGTTGCTGACATTAAAATAAAATTTCAGACATTTTGACAACATACCCTGGCATAATGCTCTGAATTCACAAAAATTGCTACTGAATCTTACTATTGTTGGCTCCCAACCTTGTGGAAGTTTATAATGTCCTGCTATTGTTAGCTTGTTTTCATGCCATCCTTCCCCTTTCTTCGAAATGCTCTATGGCATATATATTTGTATTTAAAGTACCTCATATATAATTTTGTTTTGAGATATTAAAAAAAAAACTCATGGTGAACCTCAGGATAATTGTAGCCACCTTAGAGGGTTGCAGATTTTGGGCTGGAAAGCACTGCTTGGCAGCCATCTGTGTGATACTTTTCAATTGTTAGTTCTTCACTAATTCTGTAATGTATTCTCCTCACAATGTGAACAGATCTTTTTTGTCAATAAGGAAAGCATAATTTTGTTAATGATAGGTAAGCACCTTATTATCTGTATTTGGCAGGCTTAGACATATTGCTGCCTTTTGGAGAAAAACAGCTGTTTCCAGATGTCATTAAAGCAGGCATTACCACTGACAAAGCTTTCTCACGAAGTATCTTACAACAGTTCTGTGTGCTGTCAGAGCTGCTTGTACCAAAAATTCTGTGGGAGTTAGGGCCCTGTACTTTCTAATTGCTAACTGCTTTGATTACAACCTCCTGCTCAGATACTACAGTGAGTTACATTTCCATCTACACACACGATTCCATCTATACAGATTTTCTTCTCTTATAATCACATGGCTTCAGTGTTATGACACTTCTGATCTTTGTGAATACTTGCTCAGAATTCTGACACTTCCATTAGTAGCACACAGACAGTTTGGACCTGTTGGATGTTGACACAATGTATTTTGCTTATTCTGGAAGCATTAATTTTAATTTCTCTTTTGTGAATTTATTTATGTAAATGTAATCATTTGACTACATGGTTACTTTTTGTTTGTTTGTTTGTTTTTTGGCATTTCTCAATTATTTTGGCCAGTTTCTCATCCAAAAGAATTATTATTATAGCAACTTATCAGTACAAAAGATTAATTATTGTAGTAACTTCAGTGCTCTTTTTCCACCAGATCCGCAGTTACTTTGTATTTAATAAGCTTTTCAAGGCTTTGTTGAACTTACTGATTTCCATTTCAGTCTTCTTTTTCATTTATTCTTTCGATACTAGAACCCACCAGGAAAAATTATTCAAAAGCTGGTAATAATTTAGGTGACTTGTTTTTTCTTCTGACCTATCTAAAGCAGTCCCTTTTTGCCTAAGTACTTAGTTTTCCATTCTGTCCCTATAACCTAGAATTCAACAAAACGCTCATGATCCATGCAAACTATGAATTTGCTTTAAACTACACATTTACATACTACATTGTTAAACACAGGCTTTGAGAGAAAAAGTGCACTGCAACTAGAGACTTATGATATTATCTTGGCAGCAATTATTAAAGATTTTTAAAAAGTAAACCAATGATACTTCCATCTCTTGGGTTATCGAATTGCTATTAAGAAGAATGAGGTAGATTTTTATGGGCTCAAATGGAAAGATATCAAAAATATACTGTCGAGTAAAATTAGAAAATCATAAAACAATATATAATAAGATATAATTTATGTAGAAATATATACGTATGTGTATGTGTTCTTATGTATAACTCACATTTATGTATATGCATAGAAAAAGGTCTGGATGGATATAAGTCAAATTCTTTTCGTTGTTGTTATCCCTGAGAAAGGGTAAGTAAAATGGGTGGGGAAATGCATGTGAAAACAGGTTTTTACTTTTCACTTTTTGTAAAATTTGAATTTTTCACAAGTATATATTACTTTAAAAAAACTAAAAGCCCCTTATGCCATTTGCTGTTATCATCCCCAGGCCTGAATTGTTAAATGATCAAAAGAAGTTCAGTGATAGGACCTCATTGGCCTTAAAACAAGAAAATAAAAATAAAATAACAACAATTATAGTTGCCATTTGTTCAACAATTATCTTGAGTTAGATATTTCACAGGAATTATCTAATGCATGCCTTATAATAACCCTGAAAAGTAGGTTCTGTACGCGATTAGGTATGAAAAAATAAATCTCAGAGAGATTAATTCGTCAGAGGCCGCATAGCTGGTCTCTTAACCTGTTGAGGCTGCTATATCAAGAATACCCCAGATTGAGTGGCTTAAACAACAAACATTTATTTCTCACAGTTTTGGAAACTGAGAAGTCCAAGATTGAGATTACGGTGCCAGTGTGCTCAGTGTGGTGCAGGCCTTCTTCCTGGTTTTCTCACATGGCAAACCCAATTACCTCCCAAATCCAGTTGCCTTCTCAAAGGTCTAACCTCCAAATACTACCACATTGGAGATTAGGGCCTCAACATATGAATTTTGAGGAGAACAAAATTCAGTTCATTTGTATTTTTATACCAAATTCAGCTGGTAAAAGCAGTTGGGCAGGAATTTCAACATGGATTTATCTGGCTCTTAAACCTGTGTTGTTATTACTGAACAACATAGCCTAATTGCAAGTACATAAATGGAGTTTACGATGGTGCTGGGACTATTTTTAGTATTTTTATACTGTTCTAAGTACTTTTTGTATATAATAATTCATTTATTCCTCACAACAATTCTGAGTTAGGTATTATTATCATTATAGTTTTATCATCTTAATTTTTCAAAATGAGGAAACTGAGATACATACACATTACTTGTCAAATGTGTAAGTGGCAGAGCAAGGATTTGAATGAACCCAGGCAGTCTTATCATACATGCCACTGCATCTCTAGGGATCATGTGTAAGAAAGTCCTGTATGTGTCTCCCATTTCCCATTCTCCCATCAACGAGATTACGGAAAAGATGACGTATACTGGTAGAACCCAGACTTAATCAAGCTAAATAAAGTCGTGGCTCAAAGAAAGCCTGCCATCTTATGCTTTACAAATGAATTCTTAAGTATCTATACAATTCTCAGTAGGCTATCTTTCAAAAATACTTCCATCTGAAGTGAAATGTTCCCCAGTTTGAAATCCAGAATAAGGTATAGGTCTGTCCCTTAAGACATTCTTGCCCTGTTTTGAGAATATGGAACAGAAGAATTGTGCCATACCAGAGGAGAGAAAATAAAAGTGGGCCTGAGGTTTCCATCTTTGGTGAGGGGCTTCTAGTTTCAAATAAAGTTCACCTTACTCCTCAACCTGATAAAAGGTAACTATAGAGACCCGACAGATAATATCATACTTAATGGTGAAATACTAAAACTCTTCTGCTAAGATCAGGAACAAGAGGAGGATGTTCACTCACTCCACTTCTACCTAACACTGTACTGGAAGTTCTCAACAGGGCAATTAGGGAAGAAAAAGAAATAATAGGCCTCCAGTTTGGAAAGGAAGAATTCAAATGATATCTATTTGAAGATAGCTTGATCATATACACAGACAACCCTAAAGAACCCACAAAATAATTATTAAAGTAAATAAAAGAGTTCAGCAATTTGCAGGAGAAATATACAAAAATCAGTTGTGTTTCTATACACTAGCAATGAACAATCTGAAAGTGAAATTAAGAAAACGATTCCAGGTTGGGCATGGTGACTCATGCCTGTAATCTCAGCACTTTGGGAGGCTAAGGTGGGATTGTTGCTTGAGCCCAGGAGTTTGAGAACAGCCTGAGCAGCATAGTGAGACCCCCATCTCCACAAATAATAATAAAAAAATTAGCTGGGCATGGTGGCACACACCCTGTGATCCCAGCTAGTCAGGAGGTTGAGGCAGGAGGATCACTTGAGCCTGGGCAGTTGAGACTGCAGTGAGTCATGATCGCACCGCTACACTCCAGCCTGAGCAACAGAGTGAAACCCTGTCTCAAAAAAGAAAAGAAAAGGATTTCATTGCATCAAAAGAATAAAATAGGAATAAATGTATCCAAGAAAGTATAAGAATGTACACTGAAAACTACGAAACATTTTTGAAAGAAGTGGAAGAAAACATAAGTAAATGGAAAGAAATTCCATGTTCATTGTGTGCAGGAGACAATATTGTTAAGATAGCAATACTACTCTAACTAATCTATAGATTCAACACAATCCCTGTCAAAATCTCAGTGGCTTCTTTGCAAAAATTGACATGATGATCTTAAAATTCATACGGAAATGCAAGGGCTCCAGAATAGCCAAAACAATCTTAAAAAAGACATTAGCTGGAGGATGCACACTTCCCAATTTCAAAACTTACTACAAAGCTGCAACAATCAGTATGGTACTGACATAAGGATAGACATATAGATCAATTCAATGGAATAGAATGAAGGGTTCAGGGATAAACTCTTACATTTATGTTTGATAGATTTTCATCAAGGGCACCCAGACATTTCCACGAGGAAAACAGAGTATTTTTAACAAATAGTGCTGAGACAACTGTATCTTCACATGCAAAAGAATGAGGTTGGACCCCTTCCTCACACTATATACAAAAATTAACTCAAAATGGAGTAAAGATCCAAATGTAAGGCTACAATTATAGCACTATTAAAAGGAAACATAAATGTAAGTCTTCATAGCTTTGAATTAGGCAATACTTTCTTAAATAGGACACCAAAAAGCATAAGCAATAAGAGAAAAAATGATAAACTGACTAAATCATAATTAAAAATTTTAATGAATCAAAGGAAATGAAAAAACAACCCAGAGAATAAGATGTGAAAGTGTTTGCAAACCATGTTTGATAAGCACTTGTATCCAGAATATATAATTCTTACACAACTCAATAAAAAAGACAACCCAATTTAAAAACAGGCAAAGCAAAAGATCTGAATGTACATTTCTACAGAGAAGATATACAAACAGCCAATCAGCA